TTTAAAATTACTCCTACACTATCAATAGGAACAGTAAATATGAACTATAATATTAAATAAGATTTGGAGTGAAAGTGTTAATCAAAATTGCTGGTATGCTATATTTCTGATATTATTTTCTCTTCTGTTGAATGATCTTGCTAACTTGCCACACATCCACACCACACTCTTCAGCTAAATAAAAGCGTTTTCACGCTTATATTAGCCTTCTACTGTACTTACTACTACTCCTGCCGTTATTTTGTTGTAATATGATACTATACATATATATTATCAATGTAGAAATCGATATTGTACATATATGATGAAGAATAAATTATAGAGTACTGTAATGAAGGTCAATTTTTAGAATTCTCCTTCAAGTTTTTGTATTGTATTTATGCTAGACAAGTTTTTATATCGTAATAAGTATTCTAGCTTAAAAAATATGACTTGGCTCATTATAACAGTAGATTTTACTTAGTATCTTAGTATATTATAACCCGACTGCTTTATTCGGGTTAGAATTTAAGATAATCATTAGCTTAAATTCTTGTTAAAAATGAGATATTGTGAGGTTGCAATTCAAAGATTGTAATAGAAAATATATGCAGCTAATTTTGATCATTAATTACAGTAGATGTTTATGTCATTTTATGATTTCATACTGTATGAAGCCGAATATCCGATCTTGGATCCAATGTAAGATTGTTTCTCTGTCTTAAAGAAACTATAGAAATGTACAATTTTATACTAAACTACGATTATATTAATTTAGTAATTTCGGGAATCTAGGGCACAATTTATCTTCATTGTATGTGTTTGATTGCTAGTTTAATTTGGAATACTTTAGAATGATAGCTGGATAGTGCAATACAACCAACTGCTCTGCCTAGCATATGGAAGTTGGCGTAGTTCATTAGTTTAGTGCAGTTGAAGATAGAAAAAGACGTGTAAAGTCTAGGATAATCGTCAGTTATCTCATTAATTAATAGTTTGGTTGGTTAAGCCAGTAGTTCTGCCTATATTTTGTCACTCGTTTAGGAATTTTGCTAAGATTATTGCTAAAGTTATTATAAACTGTTATTTTGCCCCTAGTTTATTTTTTGTACTTCAATTATTGGTAGTTTAATTTAACTCAGTTTTTCTTCTTTCAATATTACTTTATACAATAACGAAATATGGATAATTGAACATGCTACAATTATGGAATCATTTCAATATATAACTAGATTAAAATTTTTAATTAATATATTAGTCGATCTTATATGAATTAAGTTTACGAATTATTTATTATAACATAGAGAAGTACTGAAGATATAGCAGCTACTATGTAGGAAATCAGTAGGGGATGTATTTCAAAGTTACAGTTCAGAATAACCCGATATGAGTATATATCGATCTTTTTTTAATAGGGATGAGGAATAAATAGTCGGATGTATTAAATACATTGAATATCGTATACAATTGCTTACTGATATGTGTTAAATAATAATCTTACAGGCGTAACTTACGTCTTGAATAGAAATATCCGTAACTTTGTCTAAACAGAATTTAATTGCCTAAAATATACAAAAGTATCTTCAGTGGCAATATGCGTCCATCCATCATTAATTAATAGTGAAATTTAATTTTATTCCCTCGAGTTAAATCTAACTCTTTTAAGCGTACCATTACAGTTACACCTAGATATGGTCTAGGTAGCAGTTAGGTATGCTCCACTGAGCAGCTAATCGTAAAAGTAGTTTACTAGTATATGATACCTTTTCTTGTCCGCACTGTACTGCACGATGTAGAACTGAGGCTCCGCTATAATTGCAACTAGCGATTTGTTCTTCGCCGTTAATAAATTTGTCCTCTCTGCTCGTTAATAGGAATTCCATTAAATCTGTGTTGCCTTTACTGGCTGCAATGTGAATAGGTAAACTGCCATCTGTAGTTCTTGCCGTAATATCTGCACCTCGATCGATCTGTCGGATAAATGACAGTCAGTAGTACTGATGCTTCGAATTTGTGGTAGCAAAATATAATGGTTTCGAGCTATACATCGTATCGGTGACAGTATGGCATTTAATTATCATAAATAATCGAACAAAATAATCAACGTACTAAATATTTGCAAATGCAATCTCTATCATAGTGACAGGCAAGAAGCAGGGGCGTCATTTTATCTTTATTTTGTTCGTCCAACATAAACGGTCGTCTATTGATTAATGCCTGTAAGCACATATAGCAATAGTCAATACGCAAGTAAGATCATACTTTTCTTGCTTATGATAAAGATTGTAGCTTGTACACTTAGTTTTAAATGTAAGGTAATGACAACAATTCTAGTTAAATATTAAGGTTTGGCTACGATATACTTTTGCTTCCAATTTGTTATAATGTCTCTTGAGCTGGTAAGTTGTTGCACGCCATGTTCTATGATTGGTAAGACTAAATGGGGTTATATTCTAGTGAATACTGTATGGTTTTTAAGTAGTCATCACTTGTACATATCATGAATTAAGTCTATAGCTTTGAAACAGCTGTAATGTCATTACTGCTCTGTACAAATAATATCCTTAATATGTAAATGCACTCATGGAAAGCTTCAAAATTGAAACGGTCACTGATTAAAAACAATTATAAGTTGGCCATCTATAATTCTCCTAAAGTGTAAATGCTCAAAACTGAAATAATCACTAATTGTAAATGGTTATGAATTAGTTGTCACTACTTAGTGCAAATGTTATCCTTAATACTTAAATGCTCTTATGAGGAAGCTTTCAAAATTGAAACAGTCACAAATTAAAAATAATTATGAATTAGTCATCAATGCTTTTTGCTAATAACTTCATAATTAAAAATACTTATGAATTAGTCGTCAATTCTTTATACTAATATTGTTCGTAGTGCGTAAATACTATCGTGGAAAGCTTCAAAATTGAAACTACCGCTGGTAAAAAGTTAGTTGGCCATCAAAGTTTTTTAGTCTTTAATGAGTAAATTACTCATATGAAAAGCTCCAAAATTGAAACGATCACTAATTAAATAGTTACTTATTTAAAAGTTGCTATGAATTATTCATTAAGGACTTGTACTAGTATTGACGTTCATGTGTAAATACTCATATGAATGGATTTAAAATCGAAACGTTTACTAATTAAAAGTAGTTTAAATTATACACTGTGTAATAGTATATGAATATCTACAGAGTGAAGCAGAGTCCTTATTGACGATACTACCAGCTGAATATACTTGCCTCACATATTTTTAAGTGACCAGCCATAGCAGCATAATGTAATGGAGTATTCAAATTGATATCTTGAGCTTGAACATTAGCATCGTAACCTAGAAGTGTTTGAACAGCCAAAAATTTATTGTACTTGGCGCCCAAATGTAATGGTGTTGCATTGTCTAAGCCAGTTATATCAATATCTAAAATTGATCCGATAAAATAAATTAGTCAATTTGATGGTTTTCGATTTACAGGTTCAGTAAATAAAGTAGAAGAATGTATAAATTGACGTTAATGTTTGACATAATAATGATATTTCATGATGTACGGTCTAAGAAAATAAACTTGCCGGCTCCTCGTCCAATTAAAGATTCTATAATCTCGACATTGTCGTTTTTCGCTGCATAATGTAAAAGGGATAGCTGATCCGAATTTAGTTCATTTATTAAATACGTGATAGTTTGATCAGGGATACCATGCCGTAAGAATAGCAGATCGCCGGTTGTAGGTGTCTAAATTTAACATGTTTAACGTATAAGGTTTGACAGTGGCTGATATTGCAAACACTTAGCTTTATTTCTTCTATAGTGGACGAGCTAATGGCTGACAGGTATTTTTATGATGTATTAAAAATGACTATTTGATAGCTAGCTTTTATAAGCAGTATGTAACATATCTTACTTGTAGGCTATAGTAGGAAGAAGGAGCTTTGGTTTTATTTAATAATGATGTAGATCGCAGCATTCCCGAATTTTTTGAATAGGGTTCCATTTCTGCTATTAAATACTGTAAGATAAAAACGCTGTTTCCATTATTATATTGCTATAGAGAAGTAAAATTACCTTCTCACAGAAGGTAGCAGATGGTAGATGACAAAGATGTTTATAATAACGACAATATGGTCTTAATTATTTCTAGCTAATGATAAATTCACAGCTTTTATGATCAACTGCGATCATAGTGAGCTTTTATTAATTTATTATATTTCCTGAATTTTAAATCGTTAAAATCATGAAAATGTACATTAAAATTTAGATCCTTTCCATCACTTTAGTGCCCTTGAGAATGAGAGTTATGATCATGGTCGTTAGCAGGTAGCAGATTATCTGGTTGCTCAAGTATATAAATCCGATACCTACAGGTGGTGAGACGTTATAAATATCGAGGTACCATTTTTTTATTATATCTAGCTCATATGAACCTATATTCTTATAAGCTATAATAAAGCAGACTTTTATCTTGACTACTCTAACTTTATTGTGAGGTATAAATATCGAATAGAGTAAGATATAGTCAACCTTGTTGCACGTAAGAATCTTAAAATTGCCATCATGATTGATATACTAGAATTGTGCTAACTGCTCTAGAACCCGCTAATCAACTGATTCTGTTGGATCAGACTGTAAATAAGCCATTTTCTCTAAGTACTGAGAAAATTGAACACACTACTTGGTTCACCTAACGGAACAATACATAAACATTAAAGAAAAATTATCGTTAAAGGAAATATTTGTTTTCTACGTATTAATTAGATAATTTCATGATATACAATATCTTTTGTAAGTAGCTGATATGAATTCAGGTTGTTATATAAATAATTCTCATAGCATGCATAACATTTAAATTATATTCCTTAATCATACGCAATGCAAGTAATTCATATTATTTTTCTAAAGCATGCTTAGATACGAAGCAAATTCTAAATTTCTATGGGTATATCTATACTAACATAGCATACTATGATTAATATACGATAGAACTGTCAGTGCTTATACTGATTAAAATGGTTTTCTTCATTTAATTATGGAGATTCAGATGCTTTTACGGAATGTAATTCAGATTCGAGAGATTCTAGCCTGCAATGTTTAAAAAATGAAGTTGATATAAAGATATGAGTGTAACAGTTAATGCGATAATCTATGTTGCTTTCAATAAACCTTAATTGCTGCTGTAATAGTATACGCTCGATTTTTCCTATCTGTTCCTTAATATCTTCATAGTATTTTTGCTGCCTAACTTCGTTTGCATCTAATTTATTGACCTATTTAGATTATACGAGTAAAGTAACAGTAAAAGTTATTTGTAATATTCCATAATTGCAATTTCTGTGCCAGTGTTACGAAATAAGATTTTCGTTAGTCATGTCAATATAGTTTCTATATTATAAGCTCATTTCAACTTTCACTTATTCTGTTTGACTACAGTAACACAATCACTTAGGTATAAAATCTGTAGTATGTAACTTCCTAGAAGAAGTTATAGGTAAAATAGTTGCCTGAATACGTTTCTGATATATTATCATTTATCATGAATTAATTATCGGCTGTTATTTTATTTTTAAGAATGTTATCGCATTTATTGATATTTGCAATATGCCGTTAGTAAACTGTTATGCTTTGTTCGACTGTATAACGGTATAGTAAGGACAACAAAGTTTAGTTCTATACTCTAGCTCTACTGGACTCGTCTGGAGATTTCTATCAAATCTTCCTTATTACAAAGTAGAAGAGTTTGGAAAACGTAACAACCAGTATATGTAGAAATTAGTGTCAGAGATCAACAGAATGACTTTATGCCTAGGCTAGTAACTGCTAGAATGAAAGATTATATGATACCTCTATATCTCCCTTTTCAGTACAAGCAAACTTGATCAATTTACAGCTTCTACGTAAATATTTGGGCAAACTTTTTTCGATGCCGGTAAAAAAATAAACCAAATCTACTAATCGACGTCGTGAAGCTTGCTTTTCCATTTCTGCGATGTCTCCTACAGCTAAACCAATCTGTGCATAAATAAGACGAAAATTATCCTAATTCACTTATTGCGTTCATTAATATAAAGTATTTTGAATAGTGCTACCATCAAATTCATGATTAATATCGGCATCATCAAGATGAAAATCATTAGTAGAATTAATGCCACCACGCCAGCTGGGAAAGCAATTATTCCGCGCTTGATGCCATCTAGGAAGAGATCGTTATAGTCGATCTCGCCGATCATCATATCAATGACTTTAATAAACGATAGAGGCAAGTTGTAGAATGCTGCCTGGTATTATTAGAAACTTAGAGCATTAGTAATGATTATTTAGAGAAAAATTATAGATTATACTGACGTTTACATCATTACTTTAATTATAATTGCGGTATTGGTGACAAAGGTTGATTCAATACAAGTAGACCGTACGTCTGTATATTGAAATTGGAATCCTACATAACTAATATACAAACCTGATTATTACATAGCATATTAAAGCTGACAGCAAAGCCAAACACCAATATAAGTACAATAATGAGTACCTAATTGAAAATGGCTAATACTTTAGTGATGAGCTGTGGACATTTCAGATTGACAATTCGTAAAACGCTAAATAACTAAACCGTTCTACATTAATATTATAAAAATTATATTACGATGATTGATGCTATCTTAGCTGCGATTGCATATGAGCATACCTTTAAAATGGTTTCAATCATAGCTCGTATCATCAGCACATACTTTCCAATGACTGGTAGCCTATTAATGAACATTTGCTACTTCAATTACGCGATAAATGTCAATTCACTATTTACCGATATAATTAAATACCGAAATTTATGATTTATTCTAATACGGTACTATTTTAAATTCTAACTACATTTGTAAATGAATTTTCACATTATTGACGAGTTATAATACTAATCCGGTATATCAAATACAATTTATACTCGAAATGTTGCCAGAAAAAAGGCTCTTAATTTACTTTCTTAGAAACATGACTAATTCGAGAATTGACATCTGGATGGCAATGCTACCAATGGACCATACAGTTGTATTAGTGTTGCCACTCGTAATGAATATGATGACCATAACATGTAGAGCTAACTCAAAATAGTTTTCAGAGGACATAAGATAACCTGTTCGCTTATTTTAAGAATAGAATATAAGTATAAAATCGTTTAAGATTAGTATAGATAAAGTCTTGAGTGAATGATACGAAAATTACAGCTTTAAAAAAACCTAACGTTGATGGCTCTACAGTATACAGTCTTACTTCTCGAATTAATTGAAATATTTCTCGAATAATATTCAATGTCGAAAAGATAGCAATAAGGATTCGGAGAATTAATAAAGATCCAATAAAAAACACTTCGTTCTAGATTTTAACAAAATAAAATGACGAGCTTATGGCAATGTTGCGATAATTTCAATCGGATAGCCTCTAGGCTATGTGTATGAATGCCAATACAAGTCAATAGTTTACTTTATTCTCTAATTTTTAAATGCATACTGTATCTAAACTTTACGTAATTACAAGAAAGCTACTCCTGATGCTTTAAACTAATGAAAAGCTTATACGTGTAACTGAATATCTGGCTTATGGACTTACATGATGCAAAGACGTCATATTATTACTCGTACCATCGCCAAATGGAATAGTTATAGTAGGAGATGATGAGTTTGATACACTCGAAATAATTGATTGTGGCTGCAGTCCCTTGAACACTATTATGTTTCCAGTTTGGCTTTTATAGAACAATTCTATATTAATTGCGTACATAACTAAGCATGAAACAAAGGCGATATAGATGACCAGGTTTAGAAAATAAACAAATCGACCATAATTTCTCCTATTAAAAGTAGCAATACAAATCTTACGAATGAATCTAATAAACATTACATGATAAAATCTTAAATTTTATTAACAATTATAATACGATAAAGTACAACGCTTGCATAAACTAATATGCAATCAGTTTTATTATTTATTTCGTATTTACCATTTGGCATTCAGGAGTTTACTACATAAAGGGTGCTCCAACAAGTGAGTACGACTTGATCTTGCTATGGTCTAAGAGAATGAGATCCTTAGTGCAACAATTATTAATATTGGTATGAAGTAATGCAATGATTGTTACTTGGCCAGATCATTCTTTCAGTTCTATACTTACGTCACTGAATGTGCTAAAATACTATTGAACTACTAAGAAAGGTGCAGTAGCATTGTTCCTTAGCTTTATGTTTCACTAGGCTATTTACAAAGTATGGAATACAATCAAATGAGAGTTTATTTCACAATATTTCAGTGTACGTCATTGTTCAGCTTTCAGTACGAGTTATGGTACTTGATTTTATTTTACTAGCCACCTCTTGCTGGGTAAGAATATTGTATGTATACTCATATATACTTCGATGATAGCCGTTTATAACGCTTTTAATTAGAAATACTTGCTTGACGGAATATAATACATAGCAAGCAATTTATAATATAAATTTAATATTATACCTAATGTAGATGGCATATATGGAGATGCAGATGGTTTTATTAGATTTTGGGTTAATATTTGGCTTCTGATATTGGTATTTATCTTAAAATGTTGCTAAAAATACAAACTAACTAACTTACATGTACCGTAACTATAATACTGCTATAACATATATTCAACTGAAAGGAATTTATAGATAAAAATTGAAAATTGTAGTGATAAACAGGACGTAAAGTTTCATATTCACCAATAAAGCATTAAAGCTACCGATTCCATTTGGAGCTCCATGGGAATATTCAAATTCAATACCAGGCTCAAGTAATGTACAGTCATATTGGACCTTAAGGCAAAAATACAGACAAACATGAAGTTAGGCTACAAAGAAATAAATTGTTCAAGTTTGGAAGGATAATATTTTCATTGAAAACAAAAAATATAGCGATTATGCAAAGATTTGTTGCAGAGCTTTACCAAATCTGACTCTTGGTTAATACATCTCGAAATACTGCATAATCTGATGACAACTTTAGTATTTAAGAGCTTAAAATGTCATTTGATTTGGCTGCAGGCTAATTATACTAAGATGCATATCAGTTATGAAATTTACCATAATTTTCTCTTTATTTTTGATATCTGATGAGGCGATCTTTGTGATACATTTATCCATTATGTTCTGCAGAGAAGTAAAATTGAATAGGTCATACAATACATAAATATATTCAGAAAAGATTGCTAAAAGTTAATTTCAGTGGAGATTATCTCAATATGATATTGACCAGCTATCGCTATTATAATATAGTGACGTAGTTTTAGTAAAAATTTTATATATAATAAATATAACCTCGGCTACTTCTGGCATCGCTAGAATGATAGATTGAAAAGTTGTTATGTCTCCTTCTCCAACTTTTAATAAGAGATCCTTTTCCCTGATAGTTGGATACACACGTAAATGATTTATAGATTGATTTTGTTATCAATTTAATAAGGAAAATATTGCAAACGCGTAGCTACTATATCTGTGCTCGCGTTAATATTTCGGATGAATCGGTTATGAAATTAATCCTTGCTATTAGCATTCAGCAGATTAGTTATCAAAATTTTTAATTCGGAATGTAATCCAAGTATGCTATTATTGTTAGATTCGTAGTTTAAGCGACTAGAAGTGTAGTGTATGCTTCTATATACGCTATAGCCTATTCTTAGTAAGATTAATTTCCACTGTGTTGTAGCATAACATCGTATAAGCGAATGTATGATCTACTGTACACTTACCAATTTACACGGTGGAAATCTAATTATACTCTAGTTGGATTGTATTATAGAACTATCCTAACCTAGAAGTAGGTTATTTTTATTACTCATTCGCATTTATAAATAACTTCTTGCAGCCTTGGTTCTCACTATATAAAACCTATCTGTATGTGTCTATAGCATCTCGTTTGTTAGTTAGTTCTACAAGTTAAACAGTAAATTTGCAAGTTTCATCCATTCTGCTTTACTATATCTATTCGGCTAGTTCCCCCCCCCCATTTATGCACGCTCTTACACTACTACTCATAATAACGGCAATAAAGACCACTATTTCTGGAAATTGTTCTCTTGCAATTTCTTGCGATTATGACAGGCACTCAATCTTTCGAAACATCACAAATAGTCTTGTACTGTTTGTGCTTATTAAGTATAATACTCCGCTCAATGTAATCTACTAAAGTTATACTGATTCATAAGTTCACAATCTAATAATAGTCAATAATTACTGTAAGTAGTTGCGAATAGAAATGTCCTAGTATAAAGTTTGTTAAATATATCGATAGTTATACATAATAAATTGTATTTCCTATTTAGTAGTAATGTTCGTATACCTTAATGAGGTTACCATCAAAGTAACGACATCTTGTTGATAATATTGGATGGCCACTTCTAAAGGATTCTTCCCCTTAACATTTTCTAATGATAGATCACCACCGCTATCTATAAGTTGCTTTATAATTTCAGTATGGCCGTATTGAGCTGCTACGTGCAATCCTGATTCCTATCATGAGGAAAATTATATTATATGCAAAATCTTTTGATTAATATTGATCAGAATTTGCATGTTACTGGCAGTTAAAATTAAGATAATTGCATGATCTAAGGTAATTTAGATAAAATATCATCTTGAAAAGATAGTGCGTGTACCGGCACTTTAGATTTCGAGTAAATTATATCAATCGTACCATATGAATTGGCTTTTAAATGGTTTGATATCATACATGCAATCAATTTAATATTACGGATATAGCGAATATTACCCCAGCTTTGTTAACGGAGTTTATATCTACACCATAGTTGATTAAAATTTCAACAATATGAGAAAAACCTTTCGTACAAGCGATATCTAGAGGCGTAGAATAGCTGCAATCCCTAGTTATATATTTATCCCCCAATAAATGCATAAATAAGTATTAACAGATAAAATAGGAGGCTTATAATACATACTGCGGGCTCATTATATTGAATTTTAATAGCAAAATAATTCGAAAACTGAAAAAGATGATCAGATTATGGATACTTGCCTTCTATAAGTATCAGCTCCTCGATCTAGTAGAATTTCCACCGTAAAGGGACAACCGTAAGCTACGGCCATATGTAAAGCAGTGTAATTACGTTCGCCTTCGCTGCATAGTAGACCGGGAGAGTGGCAGATCAATGCTTTGATAATTTCATATTGTCCAGCTCTGTTAATATCAGATAAAAGCATCATTGTGATCAATCTTCATAGTAGTTCAATAGGTATAAATATCTCCGAAAACAAATAACTTGTTATTTGTTAGTGCATACAGCGTACTGTATACCATAATTAAGTACTTCGAAAAATTAATTATATATCGTGCTGTAAATTATTTCATGAATAGTTCGGGATAATGTTAATGACTTAGGATTCCTTCTAAAATGTTGTAGTAAAGTGCTACTACTAGTTTACTATGAAATTACAAGCATGCTGCATGAAAGCAGTTGTTGCCATCTTCATCGGCGATGTATAAATTGGGCTGAAACTGGAGCATTTTCTCGAAAATCTGATCCAGTATAATAAATTACCTTATTAGCTCGAAATGTAAAAGCATAAGTAATCACGATAGCAATGGCAACACTTAGATCAATACTCTCTAGAACCTTGTAGCATCCCTTATGACAAGCATAATGAAAGGGCGTTCTTCCTTGATGATCAGTAGCATTTAATATCTCCTTCGATTCTTTCTAAACATAAAGCTAAGAGTAAATTTAAATTAATCGTATAAAATTTCCGCTTAAGGGTCAGAATAAAGTCAATACGATGAAAGTTTTTATTATGATTTAGTGGATTATCTTACCGTCAGCAGACGATCAATCACTTCAAAATCTTCAAAGGATCCTGTTACGGCTAAGTGTAGGCAATTTCTGCCTTTTGCATCAACTCCTTCAACTTTGCTACCTGACAGGAGCAAATATCGAACTATTTCTGAACGACCTCTGGAGATTCCATAAATTAGAGGTGTTTTGCACTTTGAATCTATGGCATCAATATTAGCGCCCTAATTGAAAAAATGATTAAGTAGAGATTACCAGATAGTCAAATATTTTTCTATTATAAAGTAAATGCTAACTGTAGGTGAAGAACAAGGCAATTTTTTACTATCTTATGCGAGTTTAATTAAAAATTTTGCTATTTGTAGAAACGTGGTATCTGAATAGAGATTATAACAGTCAAACTCTCACAAATTTCATTCTAAATTATGAAGACTAGAGAGTATTGCTGCTTTATTACTTTATTTTTTAACATAATCAAATATCTGTATAGTAAATTAAGTCAATGTCTTACAGCATTGACTAAAATTTCTCCTATGTCGCAATGATTCAATGATGCAGCATGATGCAATGGCGTCCGCTGTTCGTTGTCACGAGCATCAACAGCAGCTCTTCTATCAATCAAGATTTGACAAATTTCACAATTGCCAGTAATAGCTAAAATATGTAATGGTGTATAGCCATTTTTCTGTTAGAAGATTGAAAAGAAAAAAATTTCAAGAGTTATCGTTATATGATATAAAGTAAGAGACTGCGCGTATTAACAATCTTTATAGAACAATACTATTATCGTATGTAGATTGGTTGGTTAAGCTAGTGTGATAAAGTGTCTTCTCAAAAATATAAAGAACTACAGTTCCTTGTAAACTTTACTTTATTACATAAGATTAGGTTCGTCTTAGAACTACCAAGGACTAGCTAACTGCAATCAGACTGTCTCTGGACTATATGAATTATCACAGCAATATTCACAATTTACATATAATTAGTTACACAATGATTTTCTTTCAAGCACAATCATATCTTACCAATTAAGTTATAAGTTCATATCTATTTACTATCGCGCTATCAATTCATAATTTGCACTTCTAATTAAAGCGTCACAATACAAATCTCACAGTACTAGCATAATTAACGCTATCTAATATTATCTCAGAATCATAATATAAGCATCTCAATAAAATTACTACAAGACGTACGGTAAACATCTTCCACAATTAGACACCTATGCAGTCTTACAACCTAGCGTATAAATTTATCAATTTTTGCATTATTCCATAATCTTAGTCTTAAGCTTATTTAGGGCTTCACTGCAACTCGTTAACTCTATCGCATTCTTGCATGATATTCAAGTGCATTTGACTTGATAGTTCATAATATAGATACTTTTTCTTTAAGAATTCAACAAAAATAGGCTTACATCTCTTAAGGAAGTATCGGCGCCGGCATTTAAGGCAAAAATGACAGCCTATCAAGTTAATTTAGCAGGATTAGTTAGATAGTTGAAGAAATTTACATGATAATTATTGCTCATTATTCCATTCGAATGTTATGCTATGGAATAATTTGGGAAGTATCGAAGGATTTCGCGTGCAAGGAAGATGCCTATTGCTTATCGCATGTAAATGTTATTCTTACCGTTTGTCGAGTAAGAATTTTGAAAGCAAGCTAGTTTTTTTAAAGTAGATGTTGATATTTTACGCATAGAAGATTGCTGTTTGTTATCAATTGACATGTTAGGCTGTAATAGACTAATTTTTCCAGTTATACAGCATAAGATACTCTAGTTTTAAGAATGTTGGTGTTGTTGTGTGTCAATTAAATATATCAAAGCTGTAGGCTAATGTTTTATAAAGCACCTAAAGCACTTGTTTGCAAAGAGTTTTCTTCTTATATCTTATCAGCCATTGTCAATCACGAACGCTAATTAAGCTATAGACTAGTTTTTTGAAGTGTATAAGGTATTTGTTTACCAGGACTATCCTTGATACATACTGCCAAGTAGAGGCATTTAGCTACAAACTAATAATTCGAAACAAGTTAGGTTCCGGTACTTGTTACAAAAATTATTTCTATCGCTTCTTTTCAGTTATAAATATCAAGCTATACGCACTAAGCTACTGTCTTAAGTATAACTAATTTCGTGTTAGAGTTAACAATCATAGAAGAGATATAGACTAAAATAGCCTTAACTACCTCTTTTTGGCCACATTGAGTTGCTCGATGTAAAACGGTGGCACCATCATGATTGCATTCTATAATATGATTTTCACGACCTTCATATCTTGCCTCCCCAGTGCTCAACAATAACTCCATCAGGGTAGTATTCCCTTTGCTAGCAGCCAAGTGAATCGGCAAACTGCCATCAGCAGTTCTACGTAAGATATCTGCTCCTCTTTCAATCTATAATAATAGTTGATTGGATATGGCATTGAATTATCTTCTTACCTCTTTTAAAATATTTACTCTAATGTCTATTGACTTGGATAGTTGATTCTATATCTTACCAGGCAGATACAAATTGCTTCATGATTGGCAATGCAAGCGAAATGTAAAGGTGTCATTTCATCTGCATTTACATTATCAATTAAGGATGGGTGCTTGTTGAGTAATTCCTATATGATGATTGATAAGCATGATAAGCAAAATCGAACTATTTGAGTATTTTATTTTACTACTTGGAATGGTAGTTGCTAGTAATACTATGCAAATAGTTATCTTTTAGATCTGTTGAAATCGAACATTTAAGACTCTTAGGGAATAATGCCACGTATTTTTTAGTAAGGTGTTATTATGAACAGCTATGAGTAACTTGTAATAATATCTTCTTTAAGTAGCGTTAAGTATTTTAAGGTAGACGATGATAGAAGTATAAAGGATTTTATTGAGATACAAGTTACAGGCTAACAATGATATGGTTGTTATAGATAAGGTATTTGAGATAGCAGGAACGTAGGAACTGACTAACGAGTTAGCGTACAAGGGTATTTATAGGTTTTAGATGGGATTGAGATAATGTCTTTATATGTATAGCATGTCGTCTATATGTGGTCATGATGTCGTACATTATGAATGTAATACAATACAGTACTTAAACGGTATATGATAAGTATTCGTATATTAGGATATTAATATACTAGGCATCTTCTATATAAGATCATAATATTACATAACTGATTACGAAATCATATTCTAGTGTAAAGCACTTTTATTCTCATTAACCTTAGAGCAACCATAAGAATAGAAATGTATCAATAACTAGTTGTTGCGACTGATTTTACTTTATAATTTTTTAAATATTCCAAATTAAGCTGTCGTCTTCAACTTTTATATCCTAGTCGTTGGTATAGTAAGTGCGATAAATCTTAGATTTCAGGTAATGCATGTTTTGTGTCTTGATTTACATTAGTAACTTTAGTAAAGAATCGCTATATAACTGTAGATGTAAATTTTTAACGGTGGTATTCTACATAATGATCTAAAAGGGTTCATAGCGCCGACAATAGCTACTAATGACTACACTATTTAAACTGGCGGAGTAGAATACCGATAATATTTTCCGGTTTTACCTCACAAATCTTCTCATTTCCACCTCTTGCTGCATAATGCATTGCCGTATTAGAATTTGTATCTTTAGCTTCTATATCAGCATTAAACATTAGTAGTGCTCTTACAGCTGCATATCTGTTATGCTTTGAGGCCAAATGTAGTGGTGTTATGTCATTTAG